TTATGTTATACTTTATTATATAATGAGGTTGTATTATTTATTGGAATCACCAAATTGGAGCAGTTAAAAATATGGTTAAGACTTATGAACGGGACTGTACGTAGGTACAATGAAAAACTCGTATCTCGCGCTAGCTTTAAGGCTGCTTAAGAAATTCTCCCGTTCGCGAAACGACGACGCCAGCCTCGTCAGCTACGATACACGCAGCTGCTTAAGTGTCTTCAAGCTTTGTCGAGGTGACGAGCTGCTTTCCACTTCTCGCCCGTACGAGGAGAGGAAAAAAAACAGGGTAAATCGGTTGCCTCGGACGAAAGCGTGAATTTGAAGAATTTCCTTTTTAGCAATTTATTTGATGCCAATTCGACTGCGCCTTCCTTAGTTTCTCTTCGAGTTTAAACAGCGCTTTATGAAGTATTCTGCATGATATTGATATAAGAGTATGTGACATATATGTAAAAACAAATCGCAATTTAATCTTTTTTAGCCTCTCATGTCGAATATTATTTGTTAATTTATGTAAATTAACTTTCATACTTGAATTAATTTATGTAATTCATATAAATGAAATCGAAATATTATACAGATTGGACAAATTATGTAGGTATTATGTACTATTAGTTTATACGCAGAGGTGTTGTAACGTTAATTGTGCATGTGAATATGTGTTAGAAATGTTTATTGTTTGATGTCGCATTAAACACATAGAAATGCTTGTTATTTATGTAATTATAAGTAGCATTATTCTTTCTTTACGTGGGACTATTTGTTGAGCTTAAATGTTTGCAGTTACAGTCGGAAGCACAGTATACCATAAACGTACACAAGAGTTTATACATCATCTCCCTAAAGACCAGAAAGCTATAAATAGCGATATGAGAAGAGCTTGTAAATGCCTATGACGATAATTAGCAAATAATGTACATTCTAGCAAATAATAATTGAAAAAATTATTGAACTATCGCAGAAAACACATTTGCCCCATTTGTGGCAAAAATGTAGCAAATTATACCTTGAAACCGTGCCATTTAAGAGATAGATTATTAGAAAAGTTTACAAAAAAAATTAATATTATCAATTTTTAATTTTAAAAACTAAAAGTTTATCTTTATCTTCAGAAAAATTTCAAGTACGTGCAGCAGCATCTAAAATGTCATATTTTTCTATCTCATTCTGTACAATAATACTCTTGTATGGTTTCATGATAGATTTACCTTTAAAATTTATAATAATAATTTTTTTCGTAAACTTTTTTAATAATCTATCTCTTAAATGGTACGGTTTCAAGGTATAATTTGCTACATTTTAATCATTATTTTCTAAATGATTGATGAACATTTAAAAACTTCAAAAAATATGTTCATTATTGATGTTATTGTCAGAAACAAAGTTTTCGGCCAAATCATAAGCTTCTGCCCGGATGTCTCTAGTAAAATGGCATTCTGATTTTTCTTTATCTTTCGATAATGCAGATTTACACGAAGTTATATAAACATTCTTGCAACTTTTATGATAAAAATATTCTTGGTCCGGTGGTAATTTTTCTTTTCTTTTCATGTTCGTACGAGCAGCTCACATTTAATCCACCGCGTTATGACCAGCTGAGTTTTTTTTTCAAATAAGTATTATGTCAACTATTGTCTCCATAAATTTTTAACCGGGAGGAAATGATTGAAAATATATTTTTTTACGTGCGTGGCTACCGTCGCTCAACCCACCCATGGTGCCGCAGCTGACGATCACCAGGCTTCAAGACACAACTATCTTAATCGTCTCACAAATTATCGGCCGGCAAGAAGTAATTGACAATATCTGTCGCTGGCTCCCGGACTATAAGTATTAATAATTATCAAGGATTATGTATTCTGTAGATACATCAGTATCGTTACATCAGTATACCCAATACTAACACAGTTATATCAGAAATGGAATTCTTTATTATTTTATTCTTGGTTCTTAGTATCTTCATATTATATTAGTATCAGTGTTGTTTATAATTGCTCCTTGAACGTTTGATCTCAGAAGAGATTTGCATGTTTGTAATTGAGCAGAGACGATAGGGTAGCTTGCACGCGTCTACGGAAGACAGTTAGCCTAAATTTAGTGTGGTCGTTGTCTGTTGTGATCTGTACGTTCATTGTTTGCGGACTAACATTCCACTCTACTACACTACAGAGTATTGTAACCATCCCTGGATCGAGAAACCGACAGCGATACCAGTTGCAAGTGACACATTGCTTCTAATGCAAATTCTCAAGACAAACTTCTTTTGTCAATAACAGTAGATAGGTAGATACGAAAAGATAAAAATGACAATATTGGAAAGAATAGAAAAAGGATTTCAATTATTTTGTTAGATAAGCAGAATTGTAACGTGTTTCACAAGTTCTCATAAGCATGATGAAAATATTTCTTTAAAAACCATAGCAGTATTCATTTGAAGTTTGTTATTTATTTAAATTAAAGAGGGAAACTAATAAGTACGTATCAGAACGCGTTTTACGATTACTTGTTAATAAAAATGAAAAAATATTTTCCTAGAGACGCTGGCAGTATTAATTTAAAGTTACGTAAATTGAAGAAGAAAACGAATTAGTATATCTGTATCTATATACATACGTAGTATACAGTTGAAGAAGCAGGTTAACAATCTAAATGGCTACAGGAAGCACTACAAATGTTAATTAAAAAGAGGTATTTCGATAAACAATGAATTCTATCATTTTTCATCTAGAGAAAAGTATTGCGCGTTGTGCAATCACTTTTATATAAGAATGATACTGGTATCTCCTTAGAGCATTTTATTGATGGCAATTTTAATTCACCTCAGACAGTCGTTAATTAATCGATACGGGAATTAAGATCGCAGTTGAACGCGCGCTAAGCGCGTTTATCGGTAAGACTGCTGACACGGTTCCGGTGCGCCGACACAGCAGGAAGCCTAACCAGGCTACCGAGCCACGGCGGCGGCCCTTCGGCTGTACTTCATTCTGTATGCGTATTCCGTTGTTGTTCGACATGGTAATTTGGCACTAGAGGCAATACCCTGAAACGGTGCTCAAAACGGCGATATTCTCGCTTTCCTACTAACTGCATTCAGCATGAACTTTCTCTATTAAATCTTAATGCACGTGAAAATGGAACCGTCGCGTCGCCTCGTTCTTCTTCCCGCGTGTGTGCACGTGCGTGCGTCCGTAACGAATCGCGAATGCTTTCCAAAATGCAAATGTCTCGCGC